AGAAAGGGGGAAGATGCAGTATTCACATGAAGGGAAAATGTCGTCTTCTGAATTCTACATACTTGACACCAAAATAAGGTGCCAGTCATATGGATCTTCGTACAAAGGCCTTTCTTCCTTCCATTTTTTAATCAGCAGTGCAATGGATGTTAACATAACAAGGTTGTAGTTGGATGTTAGTATTATTGTGTTAAGGTGGATGGAATCGCAGGTGCATCTCTGCTGCTGTTGCAGAGTTGAGCAGGCATTGCATTAATAACTGGGTTATCAACCTTACCATTGCAGGGCTGTGCACACACTATGGGCCTATCATTCTAATGCAGAACAGCACAGGCGATGCAGTCTCCCTCTGCCTACCCTGTCCCTCTGCTCCACTCATAACTTCTACCTTAGAAAGCTGGAGAAGCTTAGGAAGGCTGCAGGGCCACCCTGCCTTTACTGTATGCGGAACCATGCCGGAAACAGGTTTGCTGGTGCATTTATCTGTCCTGTTTATCATGTCTTTAAATCTCTCTGACCCTTGACCACGCAACGAGAGGAATCTTCGGCACCAGGTTGGGGGAGCATTGGGAAATTCCTGTGAAATCAGAGAGGGTAGCAGTGCTTGATGTTGGCTCCTTTTCGGTGCTCAGAGGAAGACAGGAAATAAAGGAAGGACTGCTCTTCCCTCCCATGTCCCTATTCTGCCTCATTCGGGTTCAGCAGCCAAATGTGTGTGGCCCAGTGATTACTGTGAGTGGTGTGTGGTGGTTTTGAGTCCCTTGCTCTATGGCTGCCCCTGGATTCCCTGGGCTGAGAGAGTATGGTTTTTCTCAGAGTTCCAGGGATTTAGGGCCTGAGACTTTGGCACATGTCATTAAGATGTCGCACAGAATTTCAGAAGGTGGCAAAGTGGGAAGGATGCTTGGGCTGTCTCTGGGTGGGCCGTGTAGGGGATGGTCAGAGAAGGTGAAAAGAGCTAGAGGTGGACAGGATGGAGGAGTGGAAAGGCATGCTTAATGGACCAGGCCCATTCTTCTTAACTTCTGGGGAGATCCTGCTCCCAAACTCTGTCCCTTCTGTCCTCATCTTTTGAGGGGTGCTTCCCACTTTACCCCTTGCCCCTCTGTCCAAAAACCTCCAGATAAAACTTTGATATTTTGAGAGGGGTGAAAGATGAGCCCTGTCAATGACTCAGTCCCCACACCAAATGACTTTTTGCAGGTGCTTTTTGGCTGAGCTAATGCACTCAGCAGCAGCACATATGATGGAGCATGTCAGATAACAGGAGACAGGGTGTGTGTAGAGGAGGCATCAGCAGGCATAGGGCAGCATCATGGAGGATCTGATTAGTTGGTTAGTTTGCTACTCCTGTCCTTTCTCCGCTCTTCAGAAGCAGAAGCTAGTTCAGTCAAGACCCTGCACCCCTTCCTCTCTACCCCACCGAAGGGGTCAGCAAGATATTTGGCGAGTTACTTTGCACTTTTTATTGGGTGGCCTAACACAGCATGGTGTGGTGGACAGGGGGTGAAGCCTGTGCTGCAGAGGGGGATCAGCACTGCAAGACTACCATTGAGGAGCAGAGGGTTCAGGAGTTGCAACTTCTGTGGGTATTTCCAGGCTGAGCTGCTGCTAATTCGCTTCTTCCCTCCCCGCAGTTATCAAATTCTTGGATGTTTATAAGCGCAGCTACTGCAGGACAATCGAGACCCTGGTGGACATATTCCAGGAGTACCCGGACGAAGTGGAGTACATCTTCAAGCCATCCTGTGTTCCCTTGATGAGGTGTGCGGGCTGCTGCGGTGATGAGGGCCTAGAGTGTGTCCCCGGAGAAGTGCACAACGTCACCATGGAGGTGAGGGCCTGGCTAGGGAATAAGCATAGAGGAGGAAAAAATGCCTCCGATTCTCAGGCCTTCCCTAAGTTGCAGTGGCAGCTTGGAAAGTAAAGCTTAGCCTGGGGAGAGAGACCTCTTCCGAGATGGGGGGTGGACCTTCTGGGGAATCAGGGGGAGAGTGTGTCTCTTGCTGCCAGCCATACCCTGGAGTGATGAGACACTACTTGGTAAGGCAGGGGTGTGATTCCCTTTGGCTGCACCCCAGGGATTTAACATGTGTTGCTTCCATTAGGGTTAATGGAAGAATCCATTTTCTGGGTCAGTGGAGTAGTTACAAAAAGAGATGCGGCAATATAAAGGGAACTTTCCCAGCATGGTCTCTGAGGCCCCAGAGGGAACTGTCTCTCGCTCCACCTTAACTTTTGGTTTGGGACTTGTATCACACAGCTCTTGCTCCTAATGCGGCTGGCTGTAGTGTAAGAGAGGAAGTCCTCTCTGAACTCTCTCTCCTGGAGGGCATGTCAGGTCAGCCTGTACAGACAGGGCTGGGGATTTGGGTCATTAGCTACATTGGCACAGCAGGAGTGTAAAGGGGCTCGAAGAAACACACTGCTGCAGTGTCAAGTGGGAAAGCCTGTATGCTTTTCTCTCTTTTGTTCTGCAGCTACAGAATCAAGGGCTTCTTGCAAGTCAGAGGCTACCAGTTGTGGCTAACATTTTGGGTAGTCTTTCCTCAGAAAGCTCTGCCACTGTGCCTCTGCATCAGCCTGGGTTCTCTCTCTCACCCTAGGGCAATGCTGATTCCCCTCGTAACTGACCTATAGCCCCCTACTATCTCAGCCCTGGGTTCCCCACATACAGCTCTTGCTGATGTCCCTCGCTTCTGCCCTTCAGCATCTCATGTCTCAGCCCTGAAACTCTCAGACAGAGGCTGTAAATGCTACAGTGGCTTTATAGGATGTAGAAGAGCCCAGAAGGGACTGTGCTGATACCGGCACACTCGTTTTTCTCAGGGTCTAAGCTGTATGTGAACTGAAATGCACAAAGCTCATCAAGGAGGCTTGCACTGTTACCTATAGTGTGGTAACTTCTAAAGGCCCCCATCAGTCTGCCTCCCCATTTTATTTGGAGCTAAGTTAGAGACATATTTCTTCCTACTGGAATCCCCAGTCTGGGATCATTGGAATCATCCACTGGGGGGGTGGGGGATGGGCACATTGGCAAGCCTCTGATGCAGTCACAGTGCCCATCTCCCAGCAGGACTCAGTGAAGAGTGCAGTATAAATGTATAGCATCAGATCCTTGACTCAGATTACATCAGTGGAGCTTCTCTGATTTGATCCTTGGGAGCTTTTGGGTCTTCAGGGATGATCTGACCACTAAGCACTGGGACAGCGGGTGTGCCCATCTAACTAATTAGCAGCTTTAATTGCACACATCAGTCAGCTAAAAGAGTACAACCTCCAAGAAGTGATTGGCTTCAGCAATCAGGAGAGAGATATGGACTGGTTCATTTTCGGCCTCCACTTTAACCTGAAGCCTTTTGCCATCTGAGGGCGTTTTGGTGACTGGTGTGAAATTAGTCACTTGACTGTCATTCTTAGAGGGGCTCTGGACCGACTGGACAAGTGACCTGTATTAGGCAAGGCCCTGTCACATCAGAGGTGTAGGGAAGGCTCCATGGAGAAAGCTGGCATTGCTACTGCTATTTCAGCACCAGCCTTTGGGGTTGTCAGCCTGTACTTTTCACCAGCTCTACCCTGACTGAACATCTGGAAGAAGAAAACCCGGGGCTGAACCCAGGAGCAGTGGGGATGTGGCTGGTGACTCTCTATAGGCTCTGCTGTGCTCCCCAGGGGTCAGCTGGGGCTGAGAATATTTTTTTTAGCTTGTGTGGGGGTTGCTGACCCTCTCTGAGGTGCTGATTAGAGGTCAGGATGATGACACTTTGTTTTTTTCCTTCCAGATCATGAGAATTAAACCCCATCAGAGTCAACACATAGCATACATGAGCTTCTTACAGCACAGTAAATGTGAATGCAGGTGAGAATGGAACAGTGCTGGGATCTCCAGGGCTCTGACTGCTGTCATAATAAACCTACCTGCAGGGATTTGGCCTTGTCTTTTTTTACTGCCTTAAACCTAAAGACCTGGCCCAATTAGCATTTCAAGTCTGTTCCAAACTGGTGTGCAGAGAGACAGCTGGACTAGTGGGGAGAGGGTCCTTCCATTGCAGGTGTTACCACTCTCAAGATGGCAGGTGATTGGAGGACAGTGCCTGGGATGGGTTAGAGTAGGGTGTATCCTGTGGACAAATGATAGCCCACTGGCTTCCAAGGAAGGGCAAAAACCTTCCAGGGTAGTCCCTTAGTCAGAATGGGCATGTTCTGTGGTGCTTGCAGTTCCTGCCTTGTATGGGGCAAGGATTTGGGGAGCAGACCTGTGACTGCAGACCCTGGGGCGGGCCAGGGGAGGGTATAATTGGTGGGGTCTCTAGGGGGATCCCTTTTAATCAGGCCTTTGTCCTTTTTTCCCTTCCAGACCAAAGAAAGATGTCAAAGCTAAACAAGAAAAGTAAGTGGCGAGCTTTTTCTCCCTTTTTTTTCTCATGGTGGTTGGTTGTTTTTTTTCCTTTCCTCTTCCTTCTTTGGTCATTTGTCAGCAAGAGATGCTCAAATCCAGGAGCTGTTTCTTTAACTATCAGGTGGTGGTTTTAGGTGGCAAGCTCTGAATCCATTCCAGGTGGGCACAGAAATCCAGATGTAGTTCTCCCTACTTCAGGCTAGGGGAGGAACTTTCCTGACCCAGAACATGGAATTGGTTCCCTAATGATTTACAGAGAGTACCCAGAGTATTCTGCAGTGGAATCTGATGTGTCCATCAGGAATGGATTCTAGGTGCTCCCCCCCTCCCCCTCCCCGGGTGTTTCTTTGATCACTGGAAATTGCTGCCTTTCTTTTTCTTGCTGCTTTGGTGAGAACTTGCTGGCTTCTTTCTCAGCAGCTTGCGCAGAGACTCTTTCAGAAGCAAGACAGTCTCTCAGCTTGGGTTCCTAGTAGGGCCTCTAGCTGAGTGGGTGCTCTGCTGGCTGGCAGTAGGAGGTGGTGGCACTGGAAGTCTGGTGAAGGCAGGGGTGATTCTACATGTGGATGAGCATTGCTTGGTGACGGGGCTGGGTGGATGGGTGCGTGAGGGAAAGGAGCCATCTTAGCCCTCCTAGCAGGAGATGGGGATGAACTTGGCTGAGGGCTTCAAGGGGAGGTGGAATCTCTTTTAAGCTTGTGGTTCCATTCTAGGGACATAAGAGGGGTAGGGTACAGCCTGCCTGCAGAGGGTGATGATTTTTACACCATCCCGACCACCGCCGTGATGATAACGAACGTGGAGTGAATGAATGAATAAATACATAAACAAACACGTACATAAATAAAGAGCAACCCCTCATGTGAGCGGTTATGCAGAACTGCATATTGCTGGGACAGCATCTTTGCCATGTGGCTGCACTGAGTTGAATGAGTAAAGAATGGGCTGGGGCATGGGGAGATAAAGCAGAAACAGAGAGAGAGAACACATGCATGTGAGAGGGAGAGAGAGAACACATCTTCTGGTTGGCTTCATAGGTGTAGCCACTTACCAGCCTTTCACCCATCCCTGGAGTCTTGCTCATGGTACCAGTAGGCTGAGTTGGGACTCACTTGTGCAGTGGCAGCCCATCTATGTGACTCTGTGGTTCAATGGTGTGAGAGCGTTGGTTCTGTGTGAGCACGGGTGCCAATGGGGAGTGGGTGAGGCAGCCAGGCCTTTCCTCTCTGACTGTAGTGTCTGTGCCTTCTCTGACCAGGTGTGCAGCCCCTTGCTGTTTCTCTACACTAGGAACACTAGGGCTGGCCTCAAGTCCCTGTTATGTCTGATGCACTTTCTCCCTTGACCCTGGAGTTTACTTGCCCTTAATGTCTCTCTCTAGTTTGCAAGGGTGTGGAAATCTCTTCCAAAGGAAATTCTACCACCACCACATTATGACTCTTGGTGTGTTCTTGGGATGCTCCCTTTGCTTGCAGCTAGGAGAGAGTTTGGAAGGGAACTAGCACTCAGTTGCCAGTCGCAGCACATAGGCTTGAACGGGACCCCCAAAATACCCTGACAGTTACCTTCAGGTTCCTTCCCCACTCTTTCTTCCTTATCTCCCCCTCTCCTACCCACCCAAGGTGGACTGCACCTGGGAAGGGAGGGAAAAGCTGTGCCACTAGGGCTCACTCGACCAATAAACACTGGCCCTTCTCTATCCCAGTTTACGTGTCTGTTCCTGGCCCCGGTGATTGTGTGGCTCAAGGAACAGAGCAGGTTCTAGACTTCTCCCTGGCTCTCTCCCTGGGCATGAAGATTGGTGCTTAGCATGCTTAGCATCCCAGCATGCTTCTACGAACCAGGGGCAATCAGTGAATTATTTTGAAAGAAGAAAGTGTCAAATGGGTCAGCGTCTTGGCTCCGTTCGCTTGCCTGCCCGGCAGATCCATGTGGAAAGGGTGTGGGGAGGACTGAAAACAGCTTGGTTGGCTGAGAGGGGGCTCTTTCCCCTCCCCCCGCCACATGTCCTAACTAGGTCAGGGCTCTTAATTCTTCCCCTTCATATGATCAATTCGGAAGCTGCCAGTAGGTAGGTGGCAGGGGCTCCCAACCACTGAGCGGAGTGACAGGCAGGAGACAGAATGGGTGAACAGGCGATTCAGGTTAGACAACCACCTCCTCCTCCTGCAACATTGCTCACCTGCCTGCATGAGTCACTCCTCTGATCTGCCTGTGCAGCTGCAGGGGTGGCAAAGGGAGGTGGGCTGGGTGCCCAGTGCTGCAGGCCCTTGCTCCACAGGTGAGCAGGTTCTTTGGGTTGCCCCCGGCTGCTGCGAGGGTGGTGGTTGCAGGGCAAAGGGCTGGGTGGTCACATGCTTCCAAACTTTCCCTCTTTGTGGCGAGGCTCACGTGGCAAGGCACCCTTCCTGCCCCTCCCAGCCTCCACTCCTTGCATCTAACAGGAGGTGGCTTCCTCACCTGCTCCTTTCACATGTTAACCCAGCACTGCTGCTCAGCATGGGAAGAGTCTTTGGAGTGCCAACATTTTCCTTGGAATGTGGGGGATGCCTTTGCCCTGTAGGGTGGTGCTAGCACTGCCTCTTCCCCAAGTGTTTTCCTTATTCAAGGCGGGAAGGGAGTCCCTTCATTCATGTTGCCTCTCATCAAGCACTGACTTATGATCTGTTGCCAGAAAAGCATTTACAAGGCACGGGTATTGTGCGGCACTTAATTGAGTGTCTCTGCTTCCCTTCCCTGCCCCTGTCCCATCCCAGTCTCTGAAAGCCCCTCTTCAGAGGAGGAAGGCACCCCTGGGACAGCTGCTGTTGGTGGTGAGGGTCCAAGCTGCCTTTGCCTTGAAGGGGGTTTCTGCAGCACTCCAGCCTTTGGCCTTGCCTTTGCTTCACACGTGGTCCTAGTGTGGTGGTGCTGGGAGTGTGGAGAGGCCACTCAGTGTGTGTGGCGCAGGGCTGAACACAAACACAACACCCCACAGACCTGCTTCTCCACAACACTGTGTGCTTCCCCCTCCTCCCAGCAGGAACAGGGCTGGGCCTTCCCTCCCCTTTCCGTTTTCTTTCTCTCTTTCTCTTTCTGTTTTTTTTTTTTGTTTTTTTTTTGTTTTTTGTTTTGTTTTGTTTTGTTTTTCTTCCAGAAAATCAAAGCGAGGAAAGGGAAAGGGTCAAAAGAGAAAGCGCAAGAAAGGCCGGTACAAACCACACAGCTTGTACGTTTGTGTCCTGTGCTCGTAGACCTTGTTCCTAAATTGTCCCACCTGCTTGCAGCACACTGAAAATCTCACCTTCCCCCCCCCCCCCGAA